GAATGTTCCCCCTTCTTTTACACCTCTTGACCTTTGAGCTTTGCCCCCCAGCTTCGACATTCCATCACGTTTTCGGATTACCCCCTACGTCCCAACTTTCGAATCCGTACATCGAGCCGTTTAGATTTCTGCCCAACTGTTGACAGACGCACGGACGCACGCACGCACGCACGCACGGACAATCATGCAATTCTACAAGCTGCATCCGACTACGTCAGATGAGCTAATAAATACCTGGTTAATCAAATATGACAATTATAAACATACAATACCTTGTCAAATTCATCAATGCACACAACACCTCGGTCTGCCAACACCATAGCACCCGCTTCCAGTCTTCTCTCACCTATCAAGAATAGAAAATTTAGTTAGCAATATATATGCACAAGTAGCCAAGGAAAGGTATAGAGCTACTATAGCATGTACCTTTACCATTGTTTAGAGTGGGATTTGTGTTCCACAAAGGTTTAAACGAGTGTTCATGAACGGATTACCTGTCTCCTGATCTGTAGTGACAGCAGCTGTTAGACCCACCCCCGACGAACCACGGCCAGTAGTTGCAATTGCTCGCGGAGCAGTATGTAGCACATACCTGTGGAAATATCATTTCATTACTAAGCAATTCATGTAATTGTATATTCAATAATTCATATCCCATTATCATAACCTGAGTTATGGAAACTTGTCCATACAGTAATACGGAAATTATTACTACTAAACCTGGGATATAAAACAAATTCGCTCTTTAATTTTTTTTCAAAGGAATGAATAGGTTTCCACCGCTAATAAAACTGATGTAATACGTCTTGTATAAGTCTTGCGGGGTGCTTCCAAACGTGTAGCTAGCTAGTTTAGAAAGCTTCCTGCCCTGAGTAAAAACACCTAAATGGAATGCTTGTATTCCTGTAATCATTGCTGTGACCAGTGTACTGCATGTACAGGGTGCTAATTTTTATGATGTACTGTGGGGATTTTAGCTTACCTATGTGTATTTGAAGGAAGAAGTGATTCACGCATTTCATAATAGGGCGCTGCCATCTTTGGTTGTGATGAAAATCCGGTAAATTCCAGTTGTTAACTTAGAATCTGCTATATTCATGTTTCTATTTTATAATCGTATACTGATAAATATATTACAAGTCAGAGGATAATCAAAGAGATATTTATACTTTTATAGTAGACTGTTCCTATTTTAATTGTATTTGGTAAAAAGGAACTATTTTGTGTCGCGTAATAGTGAGTGATGTTATCGACTGTGTTGGCATGTGACGTATATAGTGTATTAGTTACTGTTCACTGCGCATGACGTTTCTGTGTTCACGGTGCATGACGATTCCGGGTATAAAAGACCGAAGAGAGAGAGAAAATATGACTTGTGGTCGCAAGCACCGAAGGTGTAAGCCACTTCTCTTCTGGACTAGAGTAGTGGTTCTCTCCTGGACCTGGAGATTGGTTCGATTCTCCTGTAACGTTCGGTTGGGGAGAGGAGTTGAGATGTGGAATATAGCGGTTTGCAGGATAGCTGGTCAGTTGCTGTGTCAGTCAGTTGTTTGTTTTCTGGAGTACAGTTAACAGCAAGACCTGTTCTCCTGGAGTTGGAGACCGGGTGTGCTGGAGACTACCCTCCTGTGATTGTATGGTGTACTAGTACTAAGGTGTGCTGGAGCTGGGGATGGCTCCAGTGGTAGCTCCAGTAGCAGCTCCAGTGACAGCCCAGTAGCAGCTCCAGTAACAGCTCCAGTAGCAGCTCCAGTAACAGCTCGAGTAGCAGCTCCAGTGACAGCTCCAGTAACAGCTCCAGTGACAGCTCCAGTAGCAGCTCCAGTAGCAGCTCCAGTGACAGCTCCAGCAACAGCTCCAGTAGCAGCTCCAGTGACAGCTCCAGTAGCAGCTCCAGTGACAGCTCCAGTAACAGCTCCAGTAGCAGCTCCAGTGACAGCTCCAGTAGCAGCTCCAGTGACAGCTCCAGTAACAGCTCCA